CACCCCCCAAACACACCCACCCACAAGCATGGAAATGAGATAACCAAAGGCCTAGTCTCGGTATTCCCCTGAATCCTTTAGCATCCAAGAATAGACTGAGAAGGTTTTTTGAGGCTATACCACTCCTAGTCATCCGTGGTATGGATGGCATTATGGCCCAGACCAGGGCGATAAGGAGGTGGGTCTGCACGTTGAGGAGCTGCTAATATTAACAGGGAAAGAAAAACATCACCGGACTGACCAAGTCCTGGAGGCAGGAATAAGGGAAAAGGACAATCTGAGCAGAGGCTTCCCAGACACCTAATAAAGCTCATTTGGGATGCTTCTCTTCCACCATCACAGATGAAATGATGAGGCATTATGGAACGTGATTTTATCATAGCGCTGAAACTAGGAAAAAACAAAGGACGCCACCAAAATATCTTCCACCCCTTCAACACACTATTTTAAGAGAAGCTTCGCAGACAACGAGGCTGTTGTGTGTTTGTTGAGGGGTCAGTCGGAAAAGGAGCCCGCAGCCAGTTTCTGCTGCAGGGTATCCCCGCGCCGCGCTGTTCGTACGACAGCTATGTGCACAAAGCTGAAACACCACAAGTGCTAAGTCACAGAACTATGTGCGGTGGTTACTGCCACCGACTCACCTTTCTTCTTCACCTGGCACTTTACATCTGGGTGGTCAATGATCTCGCAAACAGCTACGCAGCTAAGGACAGAGCCCAGCGCGCTTCGCTGCCAGCCGAGAGCGTGAGGGCTGTAAAGGAGAGCCAGGCTCAGGTCACTGGTGAGATAGGTACCTTCACCAAACAGGGACGTCTGAAAAGGAGTGGAAATACACCCTAAAATCCTGTGGCGCAAACTATAAACAACACACAAGCATTCTTTACTTCCAAACTGGCAGTTCTGTTTCTGAAGGTAAATTAAGAAAGGCTTTTCTGACCCATGCTGGGCCTCATCCACTGTTTTTTGTCCTGGCGCAACTTCCTCGGGGTGGGGCAGCTGCCCTCTCCCATCCCTCAAATTAGCTGCTTGGCACGGCCCTTGGTGTGGACAGATTCATGCTTTCCCGGATTTGGGTTTAGTTTGCCAGCGTTATTTTATATCAACATGACTGCACTGCTCTTAGAGGCATTTCGCTGATTTATTGAGGCTGCCGTCACTCAAATAATCCAACCTCCACCCACAAGGCAAGGCTTTACTCACTCTTAAGCCCATGCATTACTAGAAAAGAGGGAAGTACTTTTCAATTGTGGATTCCTTTCAAATATCACTGTTTTAATAACTTTGTATCGGAGGATTTGCCACGCTGGTTCAAATTATTACTCCAGTAAATCCACTGTACCTGATAAGCCATTACTCATAATGAACGTAGGGGGAAAAACACATTCCAGGTTGACTGCAAGGTTAAGCAGCTGCTGTGTCAAAGTTGCTCTGCAGATGACACAAAAAGCCAGGAGTCCCAACTGCCTTTCTATGGAAATCGGGATGTCTCCCTTAACCAAAGAAGGTTCCATTTGGAAGTAGCACCTAAAACTCAGTTGATCTAAACTTGAGGCCAGACAGCAGGAAGGAGTCCCTATGCTGCCTGGGTCAATATCCTCCTCCTCCATGCACAGGCACTTCCAGCTGCAGGCTGTCAGGCCAGTATTCCCAGAGGCATCCCACATCCTTACAACAAAGCAAAGGATGGCTGTCATTTGTCACACTGGAGCAAAGGATTTTGTGCCATTCCCAGTTTTTAGCCTCGGACTGCGCTGGAAAATCCAACACAACCATCCATAAAGGCCTAGGCTGAAGTGAAAACAGCAGTTTAAGAGCATCAGCACAGTTCACACCCCTAGAGGAGCTTGGGCCTGTTTTTAAAAAGTGTCACTAGCTTCACGTGACCAAGAGAAAACTGCACCAATACCGGGAGCCTCACCCTGTTCAAATGGCAGTGCAGGCCGTTGTGCAGGATGGAATGGAAGTTCTCCAGGCGGCTCCCGTGGAAGGCATAGATGAGGTCCCTCTCTCCCTTGGTCTCGGCAAACTTGGTATTCATTTGATCGCAATACACGACCTCGAAGAGGTAGTCCGGAGCAGGAACCGCAGCCCCAGACATTCCTGTGAGTTCTTGGATCTTGTCGTACTTAAAACCAGGAAGGAACATAAGTGTCGGTTTATGGGGTTAGATTACTCGCTGGAAACCTTGCTTCCTTATGCCTTTCATACTGCTTTACGTATTCTGATTATGCTTTCTGCGTCAGAATTCAATGCTGTCACGATTCAGAAGGAGTAAGCAGACAGTAAAAGTTCTGACAGCTTCTTGCTATCAACGCTAAATCCTAATTCTTCTTTCCAAGAAAAAAAACCCCACCTGAATTGTGATTAAGAATTAATTGATGATGTAAGGACAGTATCACAATTCTACTTTGGGTACTAAGATGATATATTCATCAGCTGATCTTGGAAGAGGAAAAAAAGTGAAACCAGAAGTTGTCATCTTGCTACTACTCTCTACACCTGCTTTGATCCCTGTTAGTACCTCAGTGGCTCGCAACCTTTCAATTTTCGGGGCAGTATGCAGAACCATTGTATTTCTCAGTAAGAAGCAGGACCTAGGTCTGTGACACCCGAGTCAGACTATCTTGGTCTGACGTGCATGTACATGCTACGTTGATGAGAGTAACCAGCGACAATCACTGCCCATCATCAACTACTGCCAACGGTAACTGTTTCTTCCAACCAGTGTTCCTGAAAAGTTTATTTTAAACCCAACACAAACAACCCTCTTTATATACAGAAAATGTGTTTGCGTTGAACTGTCAAGCTCTCACAATAACCAACAACGTCTGGCAGGAGGAAATACTCTCTGAAGTGCAAGTTTGCCTTAAAAGACAAATTCTAATTAAGACTTTCAGAATTCAGGACTTACCTCCTGCTTCTTAATACTCTGTATCGTGAAGACCTTAGATGACAAAATCCAACTAAACAAATCCCAGGCCCTTTTCTCTGTGTTTGGAACAGACT